ACATTTCAACGTTCCCTTGATGTCACTAAATGTTTTGCTGGTTCAAAAACTTCTCCATGGTCTACCGATGTTTCAACAACTTGGAACATTTTTTGGCCCATGTTTATACTCTATAATAAAAGTTTACAGCCTTGAACAAACATCTATTGTCTTCACTTTGACTTTTGGCAAGTTTATATTGTTTAAACAGCCTTTTATCAATTTCCTCTATTCAAAAACTTCAAAACCACTTGTGTATGAAAAGTCTTTTGCAATAACCTTACTTGAACAAGTAAAACAAAGGCTCAACATTTGTTTGTTTTTTAAGTGTTAAATCACATTTGAAGCTACAAGAAACCTCGTTTTGATACTCTTTAGTTGTCAACATGATCAGTTAAGATACTTTAATAAAAAATTATCAATTTCAACTTTATGGGCAATTTCTGACTGCCATCATTTTCTTTTAAAGAACTAAAATTGACAATGCAAAATTGAATTTCAAAATTTTTGATAAAATCAAAGTGCAATCCTCTTGCAGAACATTCACTGGGGTTAAGTTTGTGGGGTAGTGTGGGTGTTTAATACTGAAGATGGATTAAATGATTATTGGGCTGCAGGCAAAAACTGTCAAGTCGGTGGACATTAAAGTTAAACAGCAAGAATAGAATGCACTTGCATTTTTTCAGACAGGGAAAGTAAATTCCAGTGAAAGTCTCTCTGCTGGCTGTAAACTGATATTTAGTGAAGGAGATAGTTTTGAGTTTGAAAATGTCTGCTGTATTAAATTTAGTGTCACGATTTCTTTGGATTATCTTGTTCTTTCTAACCTCAGTGTTTTGACTGTTATTTTCTAAATACAGAGTAAATTGTATATTATGAAAATGTTGATTGATACTTGTAAAAGTATCACCAAGTTATTAAATTTCATTCTGTTACTAGAAATGTGCAAATAATGCCCTTCAATGACAGAGGTATTTGAACAAAAACAGACAAATATTTAGTGCATCTGCTTTATAGGACACATTATAAACATCACATTTTAACATTTGAGAACACCTCAGTGCATCACAGAAAATGTATTTTCCTTACAAGATCTACTTTTGGACCATGTTGCCACCATGTCCAAAGTAATATGTAAGAAAAGAAACAAAACTGAATTAACATTATATCTGTAAGATAGTTAAATCATTTTATTTAATGACTCCATCAGAACTTTCACACTAGAAGGCTTATTTCTGGTGCTAGATAGCAGCTCAGACATGGTGGAAAAATATTCAGTCTTTGAACGTTGGACCATTTGAGCTGATCACAAGCAAATCTATGGCTGCTTTTCTCCTTTTTGTTTTTCAGTCACACTCCACCTTAGTGAATGCTCCTTAATTTGCTGCAATTAGCAGCCAAAGTTTGGTGTCTAAATGGAAGTTATTACAAAAAACAAATTAAAAAATAACTTGCAGCAAGGAGACAGAAGTCAGCAATGATAATCCATCTTTTGAATGAAACACGTGATCACTGTCTGCATCTCAGTTGCCTCAAGGATTAAAGTACTCAACAACTGTTAGGCAACTAAACCCAGGCCAATAACAAGCTAAACCAACAGACAACAGACACAAACATAGACAAAATATGAAGACTGCTGTGCCAACAACTGAGTCTTCTTGAAATAAGACACAGACAATTACAAGTTTATGAAGCAGCTAAGCAGGGAAACGTACAGACATGTTGAGACGATGCTCAGCTTCATGATGTACAACCTGCTGGGACACCATCCATATGAAGAGCTGAAGAGGTGCTACAATGATTTATGGTTCAGTCTGTATCGTGCTTGCACTGAACTGTCAACAATCAAAGACACATTCATGTCTTTCTCCATTCATGTTGCTCTAGCCATGGATCTGTCCCCTTTTTTAACCTCGGATTTAAGAAATTCAATCTTTAAGCATTTTCCATTTTATTGTGAGAAGTAATAATTCTAACCAAAATACTCCAGATTAATGAAGTTACACAAGTTTCACAAGATCCTGAGTTGTTTTTATTGGAAAATACCAACATCATTCAGGATTTGAAATTTATACAGATTTCTCTATATAACAATTACATGAAGATATGACTCTCCTTATAAAACAGTGACTCTGAAATTAAGAGCTCTTAAAAAGATTACTTATAATATTGAAAAGAGTATGGGACCTTTCTGAAAGTCTGCCAGCCCTACAAGTGCTACCATAAAAGTTCAATTTTTTTTCCTTTCTTTATTTTTTATAACCCTCCTTTTTCCCTTTGTGAAGGGGTGTCGGTGTTTAGATTTCTCTTATGTTGTAGAAAACTTAAAAAAATATTCTAAAAAAATGAGAAGAACATAAAACCACAGCAAACCATCAAAATGAAATAACAGGGCAAGAAGGGTTTTACCAGAGAGTCAAGAAGTCAAAGATAACCCTGATGAAGACTGACAGCACTGCAGAAATGTATCAATGTATAGGACAACTATAAACTACAAGCAATATTTTTTTAATGGTTAAGTATTTGGAATTTGCTAAGGTTTGGTTCACATGGCAAGATTTTAATTGTCAGATGACTTTCTAAGACCAAGAAACCCCACACGTGACGACAAAATCATAGATACAACAGGTTTAGTCCTACCCTGTGTGGTGTACAGCCACATGGCAAAACACAACACCACACAGGTTTCACTCACAAACATTCAGATGTCAGAAAATAAACCTCGCGAGACCTCTCAAGATCAAACGTGAGTTCCAACGACAGTTTGTTTAACAGAGACAAGCTTAAACAAAAAGACATCTTCAACATCCACCGGACTTTCTGTTGCTCCATGGGAGTTGTTTTGTTTGCTGTATTTTTGGATTCCCCTCGTGTTTTCGTCACCTTGCTTTCTGATTGGCTAAACGTCACATTCAATAGTCTGCGGGCACGTTTGTCCTCAGGGGGATACCGCACACGCTGGGATATCAGACCAAGACAATCCAACAAGGTTAATATCCCTCATTTTAGATCGGAGTGGTTCCGATGTCCTCTCAAGCCATCTAGATCCCTCCCAACACACCACACGTTAGGAATCTCTTTTTAGATTATCTTTAAAACCATCATGGTAATCAGAGAGTCTTTAAACTGACGGAAAGGCAAAATCTGTTCAAAAATCTGAACAATTATCTTGCCATGTGAACCATGTATTAAAGGGTCTTTATAGACTAAATGTTTAGAAGAAGGTCCTGTGATCTGTTGAAACTAGAACTGAACTTTTAGGCCGTCAAGGACAGCAGCATGTCTGGCACAAACCTAACCTCATCTGGCTGAGAACACCATCCTACAGCAAAGCATGGTGGTGGCAGCATTATGCTGTGGGGATGGAATAAAAGTAATGCTTTCTTTGGCTCTTATTACTAAAATGATTGCAATAGTCCGTCCGTTTTCTTCCTCTTATCCAGGATTCGGTCTTGGGGGCAGCAGCCTAAGCAGAGAGACCCAGACTTCCCTCTCCCCAGCCACTTGGGCCAGCTCATCTAGGGGAATCCCAAGGTGTTCCCAGGCCGGTGTCCTACCAGTGGGACGTGCCCGGAACACCTCACCAGGGAGGCGTCCAGGAGGCATCCTAACCAGATTAACTACCTCAACTGGCTCCTCTCAATGTGGAGGAGCAGCGGCTCTACTCTGAGTCCCTCCCGGATGACCGAGCTTCTCACCCTATCTCTAAGGGAGAGCCCAGACACCCTACGAAGGAAACTCATTTTGGCCGCTTGTATCTGTGATCTTGATCTTTCGGTCACTACCCAAAACTCGTGACCATAGATGAGGGTAGGAACGTAGACCGGCCAGTAAATCGAGAACTTTGCCTTCTGGCTCAGCTCTTGCTTCACCACAACAGACCGGTACAGCGCCCGCATCACTGCAGATGTAAGACCAATCCGCCTGTCGATCTCCCGCTCCATTCTTCCCTCATTTGTGAACAAGACCCCGAGATACTTAAATTCCTTCACTTGGGGCAGGACCTCCTCCCCGACCTGGAGAAGGCAACCTACCCTTTTCCGGCTCAAGACCATGGTCTAGGATTTGGAGGCACTGATCCTCATCCCTATTGAGTGCAATAGATCAAATCAAATAGTCTGATGAGATGACATCACAAACGTTTGGACAGCAGTCTTTTTATTGTTGAAGTGTAATTCTTCTGTTTGATTCCTGGTAATTTAATGCACGTTTAATGCGTTGCATCTTCTAATTACAACTACGTAAAACATTTTTTCAATAATAAAATACAATTAAACCATTTTGAATGAAAAATTATTTTAGAATGGTGGTGTCCAATGCAGGTCTTGAAACTTTTAGAAGTTTCCCTGCTCCCACCTACATGTTTTAGTGGCTGAATTTCTTCTTCAATTTGTCATCAAGTTCTACAAAACCCTGTTTATCACCAATTCATTGAACTCTGGTGCAGTAAAAACAGGAAATTATCTGAACCATACAGCATAGTGGCCATGAGGATCAGGGTTAGACACCACTGACTTTAAATACCATAGTCAGATTCTTCAATCTATTAAAAATAAAGTATTTCAGTACAAGTGCCTGACTGACACACCACAGTAGTCAGCTCTGTGAAGTCACCACACATTGTTACTCAACAAGTGTGTGTGTGTGTGTGTGTGTGTGTGTGTGTGTGTGTGTGTGTGTGTGTGTGTGTGTGTGTGTGTGTGTGTGTGTGTGTGTGTGTGTGTGTGTGTGTGTGTGTGTGTGTGTGTGTGTGTGTGTGTTTTCTTGGCAGGAGTGAGTGTTTGTTATTACCTAAAGAGCTCAAACGAAGTCATAGAAACCACTCCATCTAATTCTGGTCTTAATTTAATTTGTACAAACAGGATTATGATTCGTCATCAGGCCGGATGACTTTTTCTGGAAAATGTAAATATTTTCAAGACCACATCCAGGTGAAAGCCCAAGATTTAGAGGTGACCAGCCAAGAATCAGTGTCATATTTAAAAATGAATTCCTCAGACAGGAAAGACTTTTGTTTTTACCTTTGTTCCCACGATCATCGCCCCAGGAGTTTTCCACCCTCCACTTCTCATAACCTTCTTTCCCATCCTAAAAGAGAAAGACAGAGACAGATGAAAGCGAGATGAGAGTAAGAGTTAAAGTCAAAAGCAGAGAAAGTGACCAGACAGCTGGGCTTACTTAAAACAGAGGAAATTGACAGAATTATGAAAACTGTAGTGGATTAGAGCAGTGTAAACAAACAGCTAAACTCTGGGAAACTTGGAATGTGTGTGGTGTGTGTGTATTTCTGGCCCAAGTTCCTGTAGAGTGGGTCTGCTTGAGCGTACCTTGTCTGTAACAGCAGTGAGGATCATAGCGTGCGTCATGAGAGAGTCCCCATATATCAGTCTCTCTGCCTTCGAAAGGTTCTTTACAGACACTCCAAACACAAGCTCATGGTTAAACCTGCATAAACACAAATGTATCCGTGTTGTTGAAGAGTGGACGCTGCCTCTGATCTTAACTGTGAATCTTTCCCCTCCAGAACCAGAGTAATCCTGTAATAAATATATTATTTTATTATATTCCAGTAATCCTTGAGTGTACTATGATAGGAGCAGAAAGAGAGATGAAAACTGCAAAAATGCACCTGGGATTTTGAATTAGCTACATAGCTCATCACCTTCCATCTATATTCTGAGCAGGACTATAAAAATCAAGCTACATTAGGCTTCAGCCTCATTCTAGTTATAATCTCTCGGTACAACAACAAATCTGTCTGGGAGATGAGCCTTAGCAGAGATGGTAACAGACATTCGGCACCATGCTGGTTTGTCTCTGTGAGCAAATTTAAGCCTGGCGCCAGCAACTCAGTCAAAGTTGCTGCTGCACCTGAAGGACGGAGACGAGGCAGATTTCCTCAGTGGAAAGATCGACACATTATACGAGCAGATGAGTTCTGKTCCACATGATCATGTGGAACAGATACAGTGAAGGTCTTTTAATGCTTAAAGGGTAAACGGCTTCTTTCAAACTAGGGTTGTTGGCCAGTAATGAGGTTTTATTGCTTCACAAGGCATCTAAAAATAAAAATAAATGAGGCAGTTTTTAGACGTTATATATTTGTTTAATACAGTCCTCCTCCTGAAACCCTGCTGATAAGTTTATGTCTACAGTTTTCTACTATGGGAATGGATGGGAAGGTTAGTTTGGAGTTGTGCTAATAATAAT